TCCTGCCTGATTTTTGAAGTAGTGCCATTAGTAGGACAAGGTTCAATTTCAATATTCTTTAGAAAAAAAAATGGTCCTTGAAAAGGACATAGTGGTGATTCTGAGGATACTTCCAGCTTTAAGGAAGCTGAGTAGCATGCTGATGGTAAGATTAAGTTTCAGTTTTAGGTAGGCTGCCATTTGAAATTAACAAAAAAAAAAAAAAGAAAAGAAAGAAAAAGAAAAAATCTTGAATTGACAAAGAAAGAAAGACTTTTCTATTAAGCTATGTAATATGAGTGATATGCTGGGCAATGTTACTGAGTTTACAAAATGTTTAGTTCACAGCAGGTTTCAGTTTGGATTTGAACAATTTGTAAATATTTATGGAAAATTTAAAGGTGGGACAGGAATATGTCACACACTGTCATTGATAACACAGGAGTGATTTTTCTAACATTCCCAAGCCCTTGGTGCCACTTTCCTTGACATTTCCCCAGGTATGCAAAAAGCTTATCTTCTTTTCCAAAGAAATGTCAAGTTTTACACCCAGCCCTGACTTCTGAACGGCAGCTACTGCCTCTGACAGGGTCGTATGTCACTGGAGCTTCTTCAAAATCCAGTTAGGGAAAGGAGAGGAAAGAGAGGCAGAAGCTGTGTTTGCTGTCTAAATCAAAGATTTTAACAAATCCGTTGCACATCTTTTGTTCTCCGTTCCTCTATATGAGGGTAGGGACCATGTTCTCTGTATGCTATGTTCTCTACCCCATACCCAGGCATTGCCTCAGAACTGAATTGTGTCTGTAGGATGGCAAAATAACATTTCGACGGTCAAGAAAACACACACTGCATTCAGATGAAATTCTTTCCAACATAAAATGAGAACTTTCCTCTTCTGTAGAATGGGCACAATGCCTACTTCACAGGGTTGCTTTGAGGAGTCAATGAGATAAGTAAAGGTAAAGTAGTGAGCACTGTTTCTAGCACATGGTGAGCATTCAATAAATCGCAGCTATTATTTTAGTGAGTGTTCTCAAATATCAAATTTTTATGGAGGTCCTCAGGCATTAAATAGCCAAGTTTCCCTATCTGGTCAATAACAACTAAAGAGAGGGCAGGTGGTTCAAAAGTGATGGACGATTTACCTGCAGAGGATTACACAGTGCCCATGGTATTACTTATTTGGCCTTTCATGTTGTATTCTGTTTAAAAGAAAGCTATCAATTCCTGAGTGGGACTCAATGTTGATTTTGAGTTTTGTTTTCCTTCCATCTTTCAATTTCCCGGTAGCTGCAACCATTCATTTGGTGGAGATTCAGAAATCATCTACTATGAGCCAGGCCTTTAGAAAATAGCCAAATACAGAAATATTAAACAATAAGATGTATTAGCCTATTCAGTGGTGAAAGCGTGCAGGCCAGCTCTAGCTCTTACATATGTTCTCATCCAACATTTAAAAATTTTTGAGCTAATATTTAAAAATTAGGGATTCCACATAAAAAATCCATATATCCAGCTTCCCTTGGAAAAATCAGATGATGTGGCAACACAAAGCCAGTATTCCCACCCATTCCTGCCTAGCAACAGTCGACAAAAAAGAGCTGACACAAAGTAGTGGTTACCTGCCCCTGTGGGCTATGCTCCCGCCCCACTCCAGGACCAATGAAAAATGAAAATGAAGGGCCCCGTATTCAAGAATTATTAAAAGATTTCAAGAAGACAACAGAGGAAGAGTAAACCAAGTGTGAGGTCCTTCTGAGCAGATGACGGGGAGAGGGACCCGTGCAATGGTACGGGTCATATGCCCACGAAGCTGGTCTTGCTCCCCACCCCCTCAGCCAAACAGGAAGGGTGTTTATTTACCTAAGTATTCTGTCATTCATTCAGCATCAAGGCAGCATTTACAACAAAACAGAAACCATAGCCCCTGAAATTTGAAGTACAAAAAGTAGGGCAGTAGAGCCCTGCACAGCTGAGCTAGAGAGCCACTGGGATCTCTCTCGTCCCTTGTTAAGGCTGGATCCATACCAGGGACACTAAGCACTAGTTAATCCAAGTAAAATTAAATTGCTCCCAACAATACAGATTGGTCTGAGCCCTTTTGTTTGCATCACAGGAGCCTCGATCACGAATTCTGAGGAACAGCTCACAAGCGCTAATGAATAAGTCCTGTCGGCAGTACAGACAGTGGGCCCAGAAGTAAAAGGGCTGGCCTAGGAGAGATTTGATCATGAACCTGACCATCTGGCTTTCTGCGACTCACTTTGATCACAAAATGAATTGCAACAAATTGAAGAGCACATGGCTAGAGTTAATTGTCTCATCTGTAATCTGAACCTACTTTTAAGCAGTTATTATTACCCTCTATCAGGTGGAACGTTTCCTACCATCACTGCAAAGTGCATTTTCCTGATGAACTGTAATGGATCATTAAATTCCATATCTGAATAACAATACTCTGCACTTACTCAGTGCCTTTCATCCAGGGATTTCAAGGCAGTTTGCAAATAATTAAACCCCTCACACAGCAGCCAGAGGTGAGAGACTGGAAGGGACTTGGATTGAAGACACTGAGTCAAAGATATAATTCAATAGAAAGAATAAATGGCTTCCTCCTAGACACTAGTAATACTGTAAAGTGAATTGGGGTGGGGGGTGCGGATTCCCTCCCTCCCTCTTTGCCTTACTCCTTCTCTATGGCAAACCCTCACATGCAACATAAAAAAGAACTGAAAAGTAACTAATGGGGGTGTTCATAATTTAACGATGAGTTCAGTCATAATACATATATGAGGGAATGTTTCTAGATATAATCCTGGCATATACAAGAACTGACATTTCAATCCACCTGCAGAATCGACAGATACCAGAAAAATTAATTCAACACATTTATGATTACCAAATGGCAAACCTAAAGCCTTCCAAAATGAAAATACTGCTCTGCACAAATAAAGTATGTTCTAACAAGAATACTTTATTCTATGCTGTGTATTCCATTTCTAGGACCCCGTTTGAATGATATTCAAATTTCCGGAATGGCAAATAGGATGGAAGTGGGCAATCAATGCATTTTTTAAACCAGAACACCAGAAGAGAAGACATTTCAGCCAAAGTTTTATGGTGAAATTATAAACTCCTGAAAAACTGACTTTATAATGGAAATGCTGACAGACTTTTTTCACTGGAGCAGTTTGAATGCAACACTGTAATTTAGTAATCTCTCTTACAGACTAAAGACTAATTCTAACAAGGTGTCATTTTGACTCACGTTTATTATTACCCGCAAGAATGAAAAATGCCGTTTACTCCTGAGCTGCCTGAGAACCAGGGTGGGGCAATCTCACATTTTAGGCAAGACTTTCTGCCTTACCAAAATAGCCCTCTCCACCGAAGGAATGGCAGTCAACCTTTCACGCTCAGCTTCCTTCATGTCAGCCAGAACCTTCGCAGCTCGACATGCCTTTTCTACACGTTACATTTTAATGATCTGAGAAAACCGTTATCAGAGTTAACATCTCTAATTTTACTCTAAACAGACAAAAGCAAAATATCTCATTAGGCATCATCTCCGCCAAGGTTCCCACTAGGCAGGAAAGGATTTTTATCTAAAGTAATTACCCTTTTTAGTGAAATACACTTAACAGATGAAATTTACACAGAGAGTGCGAGACTGCAGCACTAGACAGCGTAAGTGAAAACCGAGAAACGCCGTGTCTCGCTATCCGCGGGCCTGCGGGGAGTCTGTGGCTCAGTCGGGTGTGGGGCGCCCTCGTCGTTTCGCAGGAGCCACGGATCTCGGCGACCGCAAGCTGCAAGGAACGCCTTCTCCGGCCACAGACAAACCATGCCGACAGCGGCTGGAACTTCCCCCAAGTTGTCAAACTTGCCTACACGCGAGAGGGTGCTGCGGATACCCCGCGTTCCCGCGACTCCCGAAGCAGGGGTGCGCGGCTCCTTTCACACACATACATCCAGCCCTGCCCGCTTCTTCCCACGACCCGAGTACCCGCAAATCCTCTGCCAGACCGACGACGCCGAGTCCCCTCTCGCGGGCAGCTGGGGTAGTACATGAGCGCCGCCCGCTGCCCTCTCCATCCGCGCTCCGCTCCGGGGCACCCACCCGGTGAGAGGACAACTGTGAGACCCACAGGGAGCCTCCGCATGGGGAGGTGAAGAGGTGTCCCATGATAAACGCCTCCACTTAGGTGGAGCTTTTGGGGCTTGGAGACTGAAGTGTGGGGAGGGAGAAGACGGTATGTGTATATACATGTTGCACTTCGATTTCATGCAGAATCTTGGAAGAAGGAATATGTAAGGTTTTCCTCTCTGATGGCACGAGCCCCTCGGTATACCTTCCCAGAGACGCATTCCGATAACCGGTCATTAGTTACTAGGGATTATGCCCTGCGCGCAGCCCAAGGTCTGCGCTGCGAGGCCCCAACACCGGGACTGTAAACTTGGGCTTTGATGCCCAGCAGGCGCAGTGGTTCCGGCTACCCGGCAGCAACTGACAGCTGAGCGCAAAAGCGCGGCGGCCGCGTCCTGGCGGAGCAGCCCCGAGCGCTGACGCCGCGGCCGGGTTGCAGGCCGTTCGGAGATCGCGGGCCGGGGACCGGGCCGTGGGTCTGACAGCTGCTCCGGCTCGCGAGGACGCGCGCCTCCCTCCAGCCCGCCCTCCCCACGCCTGACTTATTACCCTCTGCTCCTCCTCCCCCTACTGTTCCAAAACACCCGTCGACGCGAGCAAAATACAATGCCGCCTCGCCCGCGGTAAACAGCCAGGCGAGAAGAGTGCACATTCGCCGAGGCGCGTTCGCCGGCTCGGCTGCGACCCCCTTCGCGTTCCTAGAAAATGCCATAAAAGCGGGCAGGGCGCTCAGCCGGAGGGTGCGCGCCGGGCGACCGCGGCTCCCTTCCCGCGCCGCTTCCCCACGCCTCCCCGCCTGCCCCGCGCACCCACTGCTCCCTCAAACTTGCCCCGCCACCCCGCCCGGCGCCGGGGCCCGCGGCCGGAGACTCACCTGGTCAGAGAACTTTGCGTCCTTTTCCGCCTCCTCTTCCCCGCGTCTTCCAAACTGCAGTCCCCTCCCGGCGGCCGGCGCGGTGGGCGGTTCGGGGGTCACCGAAAGCTCGAGGAGAGGACGCGCATCACATGGCAGCTCGTTCTCAGCCCTCCGAGTGTGCCGGGAAGGGGGAGGGGAAGGGCCAAGGAGAGGCCGGAGAGAAAGCGAGAGCCCGGCGGCAGCGGGAGTGGGCAGACGGGTGGCGAGGGCGGCAGCGGGCGCTCACGTTAGCGCCGCTGCGATCGCAGCCGAGGCGTGCACGATCGCTGCTGCTGCTGCTGCTGCTGCTGCCTGCGAGGCGGTGGCGGCTCGGCGCTGTTTGCTCCGCGCGGCGCGGCTCGCGCTCTCCCCGGAACGCCCACACTCTCAATCGCTACATTGTTGACATTCGGCGCTGACGTCACCCGCTCCCCATTCACAATAACTTTACGGGAGCCGGGCAG